TATATACATCATTTACATAGATTACCTTAGATACTTTTTCACTTTCACGCAACCATTAATGTAAAAACTAGTACTCAATGGACATGTTTGTGTATGGGAAGCAGCGTCTAAAATAAATCTATTTTAGCCTACCGACTACAGTACCGCTGAGCACGCAGCAGCGCACCTCACTCGACGACAGCTGTCAGGGCACTGCTTGCTCCAGGGACAACCAAGCAACCGAAGCTTCTGCTATAAAGCTTTCATCAATGATTAATTTTTTATATTATTCAAGCGCGCCATATTCTTTGTGAGGCTAGTAAGAATGCAGTGTTTTGTTTTTAATTTCTACATAGAAATATTCAACTCTGTTCTGTAGAATCTGCTAAGAGTTAAAGTGCGAAAGGATTATTCTAAACAAATTTGGATAATGTACGTTCCCACTCAAACACCCGAACTAAGAATGTACAGAAACTAAATTATTTCGTAGAGGAGTGTCAAGAATGATTTTTAACCAGTGTCAAGTATTGCAAATTAAATAATGAGAAAGGGGAAACATGGAATACCGAACCAACGAATATATGAATACATGGCGCCATGACTGTGCAGTCGGCAGCCTGGGTCCAGCAGGTCAGAGATGTGATCGGAGTCTCGGTCAGAGCATCAGTGATATCAAACATCTGATACACAGCAGAGCGAGTAGAGTTCATTAGAGAAATGTGACGGCCAGCGTCGTCCAAGCGAGTCAATTTCCTAGTAGAGTTCATTAGAGAAATGTGACGGCCAGCGTCGTTCAAGCGAGTCAATTTCCTAGTAGAGTTCATTAGAGAAATGTAACGGCCAGCGTCGTCCAAGCGGGTAAATTTCCTAGTAGAGTTAATTAGAGAAATGTGACGTCAATTCCATGCAAGCCAATTCAATTGGATTTGATGGACAATTCAATTGGAATTGATGGACAATTCAATTGGAATTGATGGACAATTCAATTGACTTGCATGGACAATTCAATGTCCATGCAAGCCAATTCAATTGGAATTGATGGACGGTTTAATTGACTTGCATGAACAATTCAATGTCCGTGCAAGTCAATTTCCTACAGTGGTGTCGGTAGGTGAAGACGCGCCAACTTCTGAGTGTCAGGCACGAGGGCATGAGTTTTGATGATCATATTGCACGCGAAACGCATGAGGTAACATATGGTTGCAAATTATGGAGAATTTTCACCCAGTTTAGAGCGTTATCAAGATGCAAATGAGGCTCAAATCATTTAACGAGCTCAAATGTTAAATGGTGAAAAGTAAACTAAATCTTAGGTGTACAATCCGTAGATTATCTGGAAGTCGTAGGTATCTACCTATCAATCGTCTATGGAAGGCAAATAATTAGGATTGTTTGGTGCAAAGGTAAAAATCAACGAAATATAACAGTGATGATTATTTTATATTTATTATTCAGGATGAGAATAAACGTTCAATTTGTTGAAGAATATTGTGCTGAGAAGGAAGTGAAAGTAAAGAGTTTGTGTCTAGCTGAGTTTATTTGAATTGTTGCTTAATAATAATGTAGCGGGCAGTGTTATTAGTGACAGACAGTCATGACAGAGGACGATTTCAGTGTAGCGACAGACCCAGCAAGACAGCCTGTATCTCCCATGCAAGACTAAGATCAAGACAGAGGACGATTTATTGTGATAACTAATATACCTTACGAAATAGAGTAGACAAGAAAAAAAAACAAGGCGGACTGGCAAACCTCTGAGGGAGAGAGCCAGTTGGGTTAAAGCGGAAACAAATCAAATAATTAAAGTTGTGAATACTTATAAGAATCTGAATTAATTAATAATTAATTTACCGGTTATTATAGTTTAGAGATCGCAATTCACACACATGCATTTACGGCGAATGCAACTGACTTTCTCCTCGTGAAAGATTTAAAGCTTGACAACCCGCTGGAACTTTAAATCTGATTTGTTCTGACGTGTTTTGTCAAAACCGTTTGCCTCTTACGAGAAAATTTTTAGAACCTTTGGCTCTGTGATGTGCATGTGAATAGGTGACAGAGCTTGAGTTAGTGGGCACAACTATGTGCCATTTAGCAATTTTACGTTTATTATGTAATAAAAACGCATATTTGTGCTCATATTGCCAAAAAATTACCATGACCGCCGCCAGGAGTGTGAAAACTCTTGGCTCTCGTCTTCAAAGATATCAGTTTGCCGATATTCTGTATAGCACATGAATGTTTTTCATCATATAGGCCATAGGGGAAGTAGAGGGGTCCAGTCCTCACAACCAACTCTCATGAACACTGCTGCGGACTTCAGTAAAGATCGCCTATCGTCAATACCTCTAGGAACATCCCTCACGACAATCCTTGAGGCCAGGGTGGACCAGTGGCAACAGTGCAGGGTACCAATATTAGAGCAGCAAGCTATAGGTTCGATCCCAGCATCCTGCGACGGTTCTAGTCAAATCGGCGAGGAGTCCAGGCGGTTAGGCACAACAGAATTGGAGCAGTGAGTTGCCTGTTCGACACACCAAGCTGTGAATATTTGGCGATGTTCGGAATCGGCGACTGATCATAATAATAATAATAATAATAATAATAATAATAATAATAATAATAATAATAATAATAATAATAATAATAATAATAATAATAATAATAATAATAATAATAATAATAATAATAATAATAATAATAATAATAATAATAATAATAATAATAATAATAATAATAATAATAATAATAATAATAATAATAATAATAATAATAATAATAATAATAATAATAATAATAATAATAATAATAATAATAATAATAATAATAATAATAATAATAATAATAATAATAATAATAATAATAATAATAATAATAATAATAATAATAATAATAATAATAATAATAATAATAATAATAATAATAATAATAATAATAATAATNCAGGTCTAGGGGCTGCTCAGGTCTAGGGGCTGCTCAGGTCTAGGGACTGCGCAGGTCCAGGGGCTGCTCAGGTCTAGGGGCTGCTCAGGTCTAGGGACTGCGCAGGTCCAGGGGCTGCTCATGTCTAGGGGCTGCTCAGGTCTAGGGGCTGCTCAGGTCTAGAGGCTGCTCAGGTCTAGAGGCTGCTCAGGTCTAGGGGCTGCTCAGGTCTAGGGGCTGCTCAGGTCTAGGGACTGCTCAGGTCTAGAGGCTGCTCAGGTCTAGGGACTGCGCAGGTCCAGGGGCTGCTCATGTCTAGGGGCTGCTCAGGTCTAAGGGCTGCTCAGGTATAGGGGCAGCTCAGGTCTAGGGGCTGCTCAGGTATAAAGGCTGTTCAGGTCTAGGGACTGCTCAGGTCTAGGGGCTGCTGGCAGTCGTGCAGAGCGATAATTTGCTAAGGTGAGGGAGGCTCCAAAAACCTCTAAGCATCAACCATTAGCATTAGCGTCCGATTTTGCAATCTAACTCATATTTGATAATTGATATATACGGAAGACTAAATCAGCGTCATTTCCCGAAAATTTGAAATTCATGTTAAAATTATGCTAAAAATACCCTATAAAAAATGAAGGCCGTCGCAGCGATTCAAAGGGTTAGATTGGGAAATCCTTCGAAAAACGTTCACTTGGCCGGTGAAAAAATCGAATCTGTTAACGAACTTCAGCAAAAGTTTTTCGCAAGTAACAAACGGCAATCTTTGGGTTCATATTTCACGATTTGTGAGTGACGAAGTGTAACATATATTGAAAATGACTGGCAGGATTTCAAATAAGGATGCTCAGAGAAACGAAGCAGGAATCACATTATTTATTTATATAGAATAGATCCACACATATGGCACTGCGGTATAATAAAATGCAAAATAACTACTAGTGCTAGGCTCACAGCTAGCAACTGGAAAAACACTAATAGCAAATAGTTTCATATGCCGGTTTTCTTTGCAAAGAGTTTCAGAGCTTGTTTCCATCAAACAGCAAAGCCGAAACTTCAATAGAAATTAAAAGTATATACTACATTTCTCGGAAAAATTTGTGGTAAAACATCACAGTCGTGTATCTTATCACATGTTTTATTATTATTATGTTTAGGTTGAGTACTTAGAGGTGGCCTGTTCTCATCATCTGCGCTGGGAGGAAACAAGGAACGCTACTAGACTAACCCTTATCCTGGTCTATTTATACCATATTATTTTGCCCCTCATCGTATATAAAAATATTCATAGGATATAAGAATAAGAATAGAATATAAAAAGTCTCATAAGCTGCCATTTTATCATGCACAAACAAAATTGTTAAAATATCTGACATAACTAATAGAACCAACTAATAAAATGATTCCAAAGCTTCCTAAAACGCCCCTTCACATTCATTGCAATGACTCAAGCGCAAGCTGAAGTCACAAAACTTTGGTGCCCAACATAAAATGAGACCATAAAACTTTGGTGCCCTCCCATACAACACAAGGGTCTCGACGAATACATCCAACTCAGAACTCAATCCAGTTCTCCCAACACAAACAATAAATATACCAACATTTACTGAGTTATATGCAAATTTTTGAATTCCTGCTTGCATATATTTGTTTCTTTGAAGCCATGAATGGAAATATATTGGGCTGATCGAGATAAAATATGCAAACATTCTCGTATCGGAACCTGAACCTTAAAGCTTACTGGTTCTATCGCTAGGAATTGTAAAGCGAAAGTGGGGCTGCATTAAAAATTTAGAATCCAATTTCTATCATTTGAAATCAAGTGATATTCAGAGTCTAAGTTGGGACAGTAAAAAAACGAGTTAGAATGGGATTCTATGCAAAATCGGGTTTCGAACATGTCTTCCTTCAATTAACATGAATTAAATTCGAAAATTTTATCGGTAACACAGAAGACGGTTGGATGGAGGGATTCTCAAAGCTCAAGGCTCATTCATTGAAAGCAAGGTCTAGTTAACCCTCTAGTTAGTATGTCACTCTCCAGGAACATAACTTTCAACTTGAATTATACTATTATATATACTAACTATTATATTATATTATTATATCATACGTAAACTATCGAGTGCAACAACCTGAGGACGTTTGTACGCAACAAAGAACATCTTAAAGTTGTCGTACGTGCCGGCAACCATCAGTGCAAGTCATTTTGCGCTCACAAGCACGTATCATTTTTGGGCAGTAGGCTTGTGACAATATCCCTCCTGTTACTCATGTCAGGCGGTAAAGGGTTAACTAGCTGGAAGATTTCAAGCCTCCTCGTCAGAGTTTGCTGGAGTGGCCGGGCTGCTCGGCGCTAACGACCGCCCCACAGCTCAGCAGTTGCTGTTGCTCCGCCGCAGAGAAGCCGAGCTCGCGTAGCACTTCTTCGCTGTGCTGCCCCGCCACGGGGTAGCGGCTTCCCTCCGCCCTGCCTGGGGCAGGTGACGCAGAAAGTCTGCCCATATAAACAGAACTCAATGTAGTCTCGGACAATGTGCCGTCATCAGAGCAGCCAGCGCACATGGGCTAGACAAACACGCGACGAGTGGTCGTTAGGTCTGCCCAAACAACGCTAACCTAATAACACATTAAACGTGTTTCCTGCCCAACTCAAGGGTTTTGTTTATCCAGTTACAGGCGTGAGCATCGACGTGCAGGATGTGTAATGCAAATATGGGTCTGGCTGGTCAGCGAGCCAGTGATGGTCGTGGAACTACCAGTGGCACCAAGTGCCCGGAAAAACTGACCTATCACCCCCTCCCTTACCTAGTCGCCACTACCAGGATGGGCAATTACAACAACAACAACGTGAAGGAGAGCGGAGACAGTTCAGCGAACTTTAATCTTGACTGACAGAGTTTAACCGTAACGTAAACCGTTTAACCGTAACGTATTGGACGTACGTTTAACTGTAATCAAACGTCCAATTAGGTCTCTTATACACATCTAGATGTGTATAAGAGACAGCTCTATAACATACAATTTCCTTCAAAAGGCATCATATTTTGCGTCCATTTGCCAATCTTTTTGCAGAAGTTAACAATTTTCTCAATCATTCGTACGACAGAATGTTGATAGCACCTCAAGAATACTCTTTCAAAGTGTATTAATCACGAAAATAGAAATGATTCTTGACCTCTAAGTATCGCTTAAATTCCAGTTATAACACNGCTGCATGGTTTCCTTTAGATGGATTATAACTAAATGACCATGAGAATACCATTTTATTATTTTTATTTAAATGCATTAGAGTAACCGTACCTTCGTCCACTGCTGCATGGTTTCCTTTAGATGGATTATAACTAAATGACCATGAGAATACCATTTTATTATTTTTATTTAAATGCATTAGAGTAACCGTACCTTCGTCCACTGCTGCATGGTTTCCTTTAGATGGATTATAACTAAATGACCATGAGAATACCATTTTATTATTTTTATTTAAATGCATTAGAGTAACCGTACCTTCGTCCACTGCTGCATGGTTTCCTTTAGATGGATTATAACTAAATGACCATGAGAATACCATTTTATTATTTTTATTTAAATGCATTAGAGTAACCGTACCTTCGTCCACTGCTGCATGGTTTCCTTTAGGTGGAGTATAACTAAATGACCATGAGAATACCATTTTATTATTTTTATTTGAATGCATTGGAGTAACCTTACCTTCGTCCACTGCTCCATTGTTTTGGTCTTGAACTGCGCCTCGACAACGGCCTTCAAGGCATCAGAGTCTCCGAACTGAGGCACCTGCACAAGTCCGACGAGTACATTAGACTTCTCAAACACAAGATATTTGCAGTAGCAATTATCTTCTACAACATCTATGCAGGAGAATAATCTTGGTAAATATTTTTACTTAATTGAAATTGAGATTCACAGTTTGGACCTAACCTAACCTAACCTCTCAAACACAAGGTGAAATAGACGTCTTGCAACAGCAAAAACTTCTACAACATCTATGCATGAGAATAATCTTTACATAGAATCTCTAAATATCTTTACCTATTGAAATAGAGATTCACAGTTTGGACCAAGACACTCTGTATACATATTATATTGAGTGTGTTGAAGGTTGATAAACAATGGTAACTTAGACGTTTACTCCGCATCTGCTAATCGCATTCATGCTCGTACCGTATCTTTTCTTCACTCATAACCACCTGAAGATATGAGATCATCCAACAAGCTTAGCATAACGTTTTCATGCTCATTCTAGTAACCTTTACACCCCCTCACGTTTTCGATTTCAAGTCCCAGTTTTTGGATGAATTGCTGGTAGAACTGCGGCTCCAGAGCCCCGACTGCCATGTGCCGGCCGTCCGCGGTTTCAAACGTGTCATAAAAATGTGACCCGCTATCTAACCTGAGCAAAGATAAATGTTGAAATTCTTTCCAACGTAACTTGTGACTATCATGTTTCTTAAATCATCAATAGTCTAAACATTAGTAAACTTTTTAAATTCTGTCCAACGTAACTTACATTGCAAGTCAAGTCAAGTCAACATCGCAAGTCAACAATAGTCTGACCTTAGTAAACTTTGATCTGATTTGAGTACACAAAATAGAGCTTCCACCAAAATAGATCTCTGATGTTGGCATTTAATTACGTGATATGTTATCGCATTTTGATGAGCTCGTATTAAAAGGAAGGTAGCGATTGAAGAATAACTTTTTGCTTCACAGTTACTGATTTGTACTTGTATTAAACTTGATTAAATGTCCAACATCCCTAATACCCATCAAAAACTAATACCATTAACAAAGCTTATCGTGCTTTAGAACAGCGGTCTGTTCAAACAGCTAATGTATATTGGCCTTTCAATCAAGCTGTTTCACTGCCAGCCTTCCTTAAATCAATTGTTACATTGCCAACACAATGAGAAAATTTAATACCAACTCGGACTACCAAGAAGTTAAATATTAATTGCAAGATAAATAAGTTTGCTTGTATTTCTAGTGCAGAGCAGCAGTTGCTCACAAGTTCTCGCCCCGAGGCTTGCCGAAGACGAAGGACAAATCCTGAGCGTTGTAAACCCAGGAGCTGGTGTAGGCCGCGCCCTCAGTCAAGCTGCAGTCCACCACTTGGCCTTCACCTGCACACACCGGCAAAATATAGTTATATAGTACTATAGTATAGTAAAATATAGTTACATAGTATAGTAAAATATAGTTATATAGTATAGTGCCTATAGTATAGTATAGTAAAATATAGTATCTTTCGAGGCGAAGCCTGCGAGTGTACTGCCTGTCGTGGAAAGTGCGAGCGTCAGGGCAAGGAATTTCTATGATGATTTGTCAAATAGCACTGCTTATGAACTCTACAAGCCTGCATTCGTGCACGGGATCCATCATTATGGTACCAATAATGATATGTAGACGGTACACGATTAGGAACTCTTCTTTATTCTAGAAATTTTTTACAAAACGCAAAAACGGATTCTATAAAATAAACATTATAATCAACTGATTGTGGGTCAAATGAAAAACTATTGTTGCGGGAATATTCTAACTGCTGCCTAATATGACTTGAAGTGCACCGCGATCAAAGCCAACCTTGAACCATCATCATTTCGTGGAGCACTCAAGGAAGTTTCATTCATTCTCTGCCACCGTATAATCAGCTTCCACAAATAGTCTTGTTGCGGTGCTGCACACACCATACATATTTCGTGGCAACTCAATAACAATCAAATTCAATCTTCCAACCTGTCATTACCTCTGCTAGGCTCCCAGTCTGGTACAGTGTATAATTTAAATTTTATGGCGAATTAATAGCAAACAAATAATCTTCAACCTATTATTTCCTCTGTCGTCCGCTCTACAAGTTTTGTTCTGGTTCAGTAGGTACCGGTATATACCATCAATATACTGTGGCGATTCAATAGGGAATTAAATTATTAACCTATTATTACCTGCCAGTCTCCCTTACCAGTCTTGTTGCGGTGCAGCAAGGCCATTGCCACCCCAAACGCCGTCATAAGGCCGCCCCCTGCAAAATCTGCCAGCAAGTTGATGGGAGGGCATGGCCGAGACTCCTTGTGTCCCAGCACTGACAGCATTCCTGTACACATGGCACATCATTTTGATTATTTCAGCAAATTTATGATAAATTTCACAATATAGCAGGGATTTATCTAGACTTTAGACTAAGTTGTTAACAGAATCAGGCTAGCTTTAGCTAAGTTGTTTAGAGAATCAGGCTCCGATTGTTTTTCAAGCTCCTAAATGTAGGTTTGAAATCACATTCATTAACAAAAAGGTTTAACTCAGTAGTCTGTCTTGGGAGGAAAATGTTAAAAAGAAGTACAAGTGAGCAATTGAAAGAAGTTGGGAACTTCAAAGAGCAATCAAAATCAATGTGAACTGACCAAACGTTTAACTGATGTAGAGTCTATAATTGATGTTTAAAGACTAGAGCCACATTAAGTCACATTAATTTAATCATTAGAGTCATATTAATTATTAGAGTCACATTATTGTCACATTAAGTCACCAAAGGATTATAAATATATATTTCACCGGAGAGTGCAACATAATTGATGTCGTGTCCAGCACGGGAGCGATAAGGGCCAGTTTGTCCGTAGCCACTCATCCTAGCGTAGATGAGGCCAGGGTTGCTGATGTGCAGTTCACTGGGTCCAAGTCCCAGACGTTCTAACACGCCTGTAATACAAGATTCACAATATTAGTATTACATATCCAGCTCCAATCATAAAACACCAACAGTGTAATGTGTCAATGCTCAAGTTATTGTTGCAGGTTAACCTATAATGGTAGGTTAACATTATCAGCAAGCTAATTCATCAATATGACACGTGGAGAACAATGCTTTGATTTTGGTGTTCCCTCTTGGGACACATAGATTACAAATAATAATCAATAATAGAGCCTCTTTCATTTTTTTTATTAAACTTTTGTTTACTCGAAAAAAATCCAGATATTCAACATTTTCAAAAGCAGGTTTTGGGAACAGGTGCTTCAAACAAACACCCCTCCTGGCATTCTAGAATAAGACTTTGAATGCAATAATAATAAGATAATGAGCAAGAAAAAATATAAAAAGCAGGGAAAAAAATCAGGTGCATGAAAGTAAAAGCTTTGCTCAGCTCATCACAGCAGAAAGTTTGATCAATTAAATTTTTATAATTTCAGTTCATTTATTCAATAAAAATGAACAGTAGGTAACTGGTAAAATAGACCAATGAATGAAAAGCAAAATGAACCTTCAAAATAAAGACCATTAACACAAATCAAATCCAGAGACTGACAAGTTTGCACGTTTCTGCAGACACAGGAATCCAAAAATTGGAGGTCTGTTATTTTTTATATTTGTATTAAACGTTTTATATTCTCAAATTATATTTTTTGAGACCTATACGTAAATGGTTATATTAAGCATTCTAGTATAGGTACTTTTACACCCCACCCCAACAATGGTCGACTGGAATAAGTAGAAAATTTGAATATTGAGTTAAAGCACCATAGACAAGCAGCACATTGCAATTAATCAGAACAAATTTACACTTCATGCAATAATCTAGAATTTAGGTTACAAAACACAAGCCAGTCATTTCAGGTTACCTGGTCTGAATGGGTCAATGAGGACATCAGAAACATTGGCAAGTTTAACAAGAACTTGCTTCCCTTCAGGCTTCTTGCTGTCAACAATGATGCTTCTCTTGCCAGCAGAAAGACGGTCCATATCAACATCATTGGGCTGTTACAAAAACAATAATGTAAAGCAGAAAATTAGCATGCTATTTATCTATTTCCTATTCAGGTCATTTATAGGGCAAACTACTTGGGAAATTTCAACTATATGCTTTATATCAAAATAGATAGTCCATTTATAATATCTACATTTAAAATAGTTATATAGGTATATACTTATACAGTGTAGAAGAAATTTGGAAAATGTAATTACAATTTGTTCTTAAAATTTGTTTTTAGTTATAAAATAAGGAAAATAATCCATACAGATTTAGATTACCTTATCCACTCTGACAACAGATGCACCCCAATCACTGAGAATGCGGCCACAAAACGGTCCAGGAGCTAACCCAGCAAATTCCAACACCCGAATTCCACTCAGCGGAGCTCTTGACGAGGTCATCATGAATGACATTTGCTAAATATATTTGATAAAAATGTGATTGTGCAGGCTCTTATTTAAATTTAACTGTAAAGTGGAAAAATTAAATTAGTTACTAAAGTTCTTTTAATTCAAGAGTGAAAGATGCTGCAGTCATCCAATTTCTACCGTAGCACCAATGATATACCTGCTTCACATTCACAAACCTAGTACGTACCTAAAAAGCTTTGAATTAGTGACATACCGGTACACAGGACGTACAAGTTGGTACGACTGTTAAGTTTACTGCTTGTAAATGGCTCTTTATGGCCAGGTATGCGTCTGCCAGGATATACCCATATGGTATTCACGGCTCACAAGAAATGGAATCCATAAAACCACAGCTTGAAAAATCCATTTGTGGTTCCAAAAATATGGTGTGGCTAGAACTAGGAGGAGGCTGAAGGAGCTAAATTATTTGCAATTGCAAGAAATGTGGCGATAGGATCTTTATCTCAAATTATCTGGTTCAGGCTCAATAATTGCAATTCACAAATCACAATTAACTTGAATTAAGGGGTTGGCAGCCTGACAGCTGACAGGTATGATTTTTTTTTTCAATATTTCAGTAGAGAGAGCAGGAGAAGTTGGCATCTAGGTATGCCATCTGCCCAGAAGTAAGAACAGTTTCAGAGTCAGATAAGTCTCCCAGTCAGCAGTCCTACTCCTAGCAACCCAGAATAAGATGGAACACTGGAACAGGAAGCCCTTTAAAATTAAAACTTGATCCAATCCCAACTAGTCCCAATAATCCCATCATGTTGCATTTCTATATAATTTGACTCATAATTGACTGCTCCTTGTTCGAAAAAAGTTGTACCTATTTTAGTATTTACACTTCACGGACCTACTTACTATTAGTTAGGAGTTAGGACTTAGGCCCTTGACTCTTGAGACTTGACAGTTGCATCCCTTAGCAATACAATGATTGGCATTGGCTGATTGATAACAGCCCGATTGACGGGTCACGGATTGATGGTGAAGAAGAAGTCATGCCGCATGCACGATGCACCGTAGCACCGACCGCTTGTAACACCTGGACTCAGCAATGATTATTTAATTCAAGTCTTCATCTTCTTACTCTCAGTTTCATTCTTCTATCTGCTGGTGCTTGCTCTCCTCGTCAGCAGCAATTATTTGTAAAGTGTAGATACTACATACTAGTGAATACATTTTTACTACATAAAAACTACTATACTAGTGAATAGTGATACTACCAGCTACAGCTAGTGGCTAATCATATGAGGTTTCTTATCTACGTACCTGTACTTGACAGTTGACAGATAAGGATCCGCCTTTCCGGAATTTGCCTCGCCTTCAAACTCAGGCGGTTCAGGTCCACTAAATCGCGGTGTTCTGTAGTCCATGGTTGAATTAATTAAATTAATTCAACCATGCTGTAGTCCACGTTCTTATGGTGAGGATCGACAGAGAGGCATAGAAACTTTGGTAATAGTGACTCATTCTTTTAAATTTGAATATTGTCTCCAATAATCAACGCCTAATTTGCATAAACCTACCGATGTTAGCGATTAATCCAGCAGTGTGTTCAACTTCTGCGTAACTTTGGTCACCTTGATTGCACCACTTTCCAGTCTAAAAGCAGAAGTTTCATCGTTCTCATTGAACTCTTCATTTCCAAATTTACTGTAATTCAATAGTTTGCTCCCGTAAAGCTCAGACAAGACGATTCCTTGTAGACTTGAACTTCTTCTTCTTCTTTTCCGGGTGTCCACGCTGGGTGGACTTAAAGCCACAGGACAACCGCAAGGATGACCGTGGGGCCTGAGAGCTTCTGCAGTTTTGGACCTCTTGGCATGGAAGTCAATCCACTTGTTCTTGCTTATAAAATGTCAGTGGACGTGATGGTTTGGCATGACAGCGTGTAAGAGAGCTTGAACATTTTACCCAAAACTAACTGCGCCCCTCAACAAAGGAGAAACGAATGGTTGGTAAACTACAATTTATTGAACACGGACAAAAAAATTAACGGCTAACAACTAATAAACTACTTCCAACTACGGCTAACAACTAAACTAAAATTAAAAGCTTAAAATTAAAAAATAACAAAAAAATTACCGGCTAACAACTAATAAACCAACAAATTACACAAAACAGAGGGTACAGAAGGTGAGCATCGACAAACATATTGCCAGATTATAATGTCATAACACTCGTATATATTAGATACTATTTGAGCGGACACCCCCCTACTATACGGACACGCTAAGTTAAAGTGATGGTAGCTTGGTAGGTAGGTTAGCTCCAACCAACTCTTAACAACCGAGTTCGAAGATATCCTAACGCGAGCTTCAGACCGGCGATGTAACGCCAACGCATGTCAGTAATTATATGGAACGTCGAACGCACAATGAAATGAACGCTAACTGAAGCATGAAAATGAGTGTAATTCCCTTACATTCCCAATTGTAATTTTAGTTTCGAACGGCTTTAGCATCACAGCTCTCTAATAAGTGAACATAGTTAAGAAGCATTTCCTGACCAAAGTTTTGTAAGGAGACCGGCTCATTTTGAAGTCAAAGCTAAACGATGTTCATTATGCAGTAGTTGGAGGTACACATTGCATATTGCTGCTATATATGCAATTAATAAAGTCCATTCATCAGGTAATATGGTATCTATGCATTATATCGAAATTCTTGATAACTTGAATTTCCATCAAACATTATCGTGGTTCACTTTTTGCAATATTTTAACTGAATTTAATAACACGCTGAGTTGAGGTACGTTGTTATACAGCAAATAATAATAGAATCAAACAAACATGGTCGAAGTTTAGAAGCAAAATAATGCTATGCTGGACGAGCAATCAGTTGGGGTGGACGTTTTCTTCGTCTCGCTCAAATCATGAAACCGTGATGCGACAAAGTAAAAATAAAAGTAACGAAAGTTAGATATTGTAATTGATATCTCCACGGAATTCAAACACGGTAACATTTTTTGTAAAAAGATATTACGTTTGACTCGCATACACATATGATTGTAGTTACGCAAATAGCATTATTATATATAAATATATAAAATATTTGTATTCACACTTTTTTCTTTGTGACTTACATCGAAAAAGATTATCTGGAATCAATCGGGTTGTACCTAAAAATATTCAGTTATTCTTTGTAACTGTGTCCATTCATCCCTCCCTACGCCATGCATGCTCTTCTTATATCATTTCGCGTAAAAAATATACTAATTAATCAAGGCATCGCCATTGAAGAATTATCAAGGAGTCATCGCTTATAACATCGAGGTAACTAGAACCCTTCTCGCTTCATTTAATATCATTTGATGTTGATCGATGAGGTCGCCCTGCGGCTTCTTTCATTTCCACGCAAAAAATTAATTTACATTCTCCCCACTGATTGGACACGGAAAGCCTGCAATTACGTAATCGTCGAAAGCCCACACTGAAGTATGACTATGAGATTTACGCGTACATACATATTTTTGATGATGTATTGGATTGAATTGATATGAATCCAGGCATGAATTAGAAGTTGTTTTTCAGTCAAATTCAGAAACAAATGGAGAGCTAGAAGGCTGGTGAATGTGTGATTCTTATCGATCGAAGAGAGCGAACATTTTTTGTGACTAGCATCAAGGGAGATTAAACATCATACAAAAAATTCTAATAATTTTTTAATGTTAGAGGCTGAAGATTAATCAATAACACTGTTGATTCCAAATTAGTGCTGTAGCAAATTTCGTTGAAATACAATATTACTTTTCTTGACATAACCTTTGCGATAGATTAACTCGCTCCTATAACACACGAGGTTTGACTTCACACTTTCATTCACAGCGTAATTATCTATGAAAATCTTGCATTAATATATTCATCGGAGACCAAGAGACCATATTCATCGGAGACCATCTTCATAATATATTCATCGGAGACCAAGAGACCATATTCATCGGAGACCATCTTCATAATATATTCATCGGAGACCACGAGACATCTTCGCTACTGAAACGTGAATAAGGCTCATGTTGAATAGGAACCATTTCCTATCTGCACGCACGTGACAACTTTCCTTTGTTAGCGAGGCCGATGTGTTGTGATGAAGCAAGTGTACCTACACTTGTGGCCACTTGCTGCAGTTCAGGGGCCATACTTTCAAACTCGCTAAGTGAACGTAAGTACTTACGCTCTATTTTCTTGTCTACCATTGGTGGATTTTGCTTGAAAGGCCGTCAATGATTGGCTGATGAACTTACGATCTCTTAATTAACTTTTTTTGAAAGTATGGGCCCAGGCCATGGACCTATTTCTTCAATGCCGACACTTCTATTCTATTCTATTCTATCATATGATGCGTATAGCACCACAGCACTTCTTTGTCCGAGCTATAATATGAATATCCAAATAAGAACTGCACGGTGACCAAATGAACATGCTTGATTCATTTGCTGCAATGAACTTTGATCGTTATTTCTACAGATATACTGTGATGTCAACATTGTACAGACTACACGGGAGGAATGTTGTGGCTCGTAGCAATGATACCCGCCTGTGGATAAATCAATGGCAAGAGAAGAGCCGTGAATAAAATCGCACGCGCGCGATGCAACATGAATTAAGAGAAATTGTTTTTGGGATTCTACTCGCATAAGATCTGATTATCCAACAGTTGCTTATCACGTCACCAAAAATATTACATACATTACACAGCACATGACCTACTAGAATTTGTGCTGATATTGAACAGAAGAGAAGGCCTACATTCTTTTTACTTCTAATTTTGTACAATATCGGATCTATGCTTTATACTTTGCCTGGAGGTATACGTTCACAATATTGTACTCTATAGTTTACATTTATAAAAATCATTACCTAAAAAGTTGATAAATTACTTTAATTAACTTAACTACTTGCAGAAAATCAAATGCTTGACGACGTCATCGTCGACTTCTAAATATTTAAAATTGACCAAAATATTTCTTATAACGATTTTTTCTNCTGCAACAGACATCAATGAAATAGGCGTCTCTGCAATAGACATCAATGAAATAGGCGTCTCTGCAACAGGC